AACGGCTTTCAGTTGATGATTCTTCGGTTTCAAAAATTATCTGTGATTTTCATAATTAGTGAGAAACTGTATTTTTTCAATTGAATGAAATCCAAAAGTTAGTCGGACAAAAACTAAGTGGAGTTTTGAAAAATATTGAAAGATTCGCCAGTAAATGTGAATGAGTGTGGGCCAATTGATGACTGCAATAACCACTTGGCTTCTACAAAACAGCCTAAACATATGCGAATTTAGCGAGCGGTCGCGTAACGTTTAGTTTGGGCACCACTTTGTACAACAACATATCATTTTTCAATTTATATCTTTTCAACTTAGCGAAACCTTATAAAGGTGGTCAAGGGCCAACCTGGTGAGCATCAGTACTGGGCAGCAAGTATGCTTTGATCGGAGTTCCTTTAGTAACATTCAGGACTTTTTGTGAAGAGAACAGAGATCGTAGTAAATCAGCTCTAGTGGACGTCGTCTCGGCCAGGGAGAAACTGAAAAAAGCGCATAAGGATCCTGGATTCGGGCAATATCCCGAAAGTATGACCGTGGGTTTGGTCCCCATCTGAAGCCGAACACTCGGCCATAGCTAATTGTCAATATCAGTGAGGTAACACTCTAATCCCCCTAGATGAGAATAAGAGCACTCACTAATACATACATCGAATGACCTTTTGTACCAGCAGCCCCGCTCCGGAGAGCTGTAAGGCTCGACTGGTTTGGGTGTGTATCTTTCTGGGGGTTCGATCCCCCGACCATACATGTGACAGCGCGCCACTTGTCACTGCCACTTCGTTTGCTTTGACATGGCAAAATGAAATTATAAAGGTGATGAGAAATGTTAATTTGACCCAAAATCAGCTCAGTAATGTTCTGGTATAGCCATGAAGCATACCCAATCGACAGTGGAGGGCTCAGCTCGGTAGAAAATGAGGCATAGTGGGAAGTTTTCTTGAACTAGTCATTTATCGATCATTTTTCGCTTTCAACGCTGCTGTACGGCTGAAATGCCATTATTACTCTTTTTCTGAAGCGGAAAGGGTGAATATGTTCAGAGTGGGAAATTGGATCTCACAACAGTACGACTGGGACGGTGACTCATCAAAGTATTTTTATGCTTACACTTGGAAGTCGAAGCGAGTAGTGGCTGATCACTGAGCAACTCATGAAGGGATAACAGAGAAGAGAGTCTATTAGAGGGAGTAGGGGAATGGTGACAACCGTTGTTATCTTACCTTAACCACTCTTCCCGAACCCTAAACCTACAAGTTGAAAATAATATTGCCCTTGCCCTTTTACCAAGCTATACTGAGTGAAAATGAAGATTTTTCTTGTAAAAAGAAAGCATTTGACAAAAAATGAAAATTTCAAGATAGAGTGACTAAATACGAGAAAAGGCGGGGCCTCATCGCTGCGGCGCGGCGCGTATCTAAGAATAAGACCGATAAGCGATCAATAAAAAGAATCAATAAAACGTGATAAACATTCATAACCCGTGAAATGCAAATTAAATAAATTACCTGATATAGTAACAAAGAAAATAGAATCGAATTCCTTCAATAACGAGCATGATAGCAGAACGTTGAGATTGGGGTTATGGGCGGATCAATGTAAACGATTAGTTCAGAAGGGGTCAGGAAGTGACGGGAGATCAGGAATGGACATCAGTAGGCGATAATGGTTTTGGCTAAATACCACCAACCAAAAAAAAGTACGATTGCAACTATTACTGTTGTAATAATACTCTGCGTCTTTTCCTGGCCAATCTCTGTTACTCTGGCTTCTGTCCTGCTCTCCTTCCTTTTGAGAATCTACTTTATTGACTCTGTTCAGATAGTAAACAGTAAATTCTCGGGGAGAAACTTTTTTTGGCTAATACACTCACAGACAGGAACCCCTCTGTGCTAGTGAGCCCATAAAAATCATTCATTCGAAGACCTTTTGCTCCTACACTGTTTATTAACGCACTTCTCACTAATGGATACCGTAAATTCTGTACCGTATTCTGATAACCGTATCACTAGCCAACTAATATGTGGAAAATGCTTTGGGCTCACCTTCTCCGCCCCCTATTTGCAGTTCACCTGCTGAACCTGTTGCTTTAATGGTCTAGACCATATACACTAGCACTCAAAGGTATCCGGCCAACTTCAACTTGCCGTACCTTTTTTTCTCAGTGGAGCAAATCACATGAAATTTTGATACGTTTAATTGAAGCATACGTTACACTGTCCAACACTACTTGATTGCAAAACAGCCATATCCACATATTAATGGGTAGGCGTTTGTAGACTGTGCTGAAAGCAAGTTTGTGACGACTGCAGTTATTCCGACCTTGTGTACGTTTTTCT